GATTGTCTTTTGCATACATTTACTTGGCTCCTAAATATCTTTTGGGCAAAATTTTCTTCTGTGGTTGTAGTCCATTTAATTGTAAGAATATCAAATCACAGCACTTTTTTTTGTTGTTGTTGGATGAACAGTAAAACCAATTTCTAATGTGACTTAAGAATGCCTAAGAACATTCATCAAAATCCATGATGCTTCAAGCAGCATTTTGGAATAAGTTAGATCTCTCAGTATGTTTTCTTTGCACTAGCTCTTAAATTCAGGCTTAGCTGGTTTAAGTTGTTTTTAATGGCAACCAAAAATCATTATCTCCAAGATTTTTCCTCTCAATGTGATGTTTTAAAGATTAAAAATCAAGATCTTAATAAATTTTAAAAATGAAATCTTGTCATTTATCATTTAAAAAAAAAACAAAACCTTCAAAAACTCACAGAATCTGATTCCAGCCTCTCAGACAAATGTTCCTAATCACAGCATCCCTCCCAGGTAGTCAGGTAGCCTTTGTTCAAACAGTCTCAGGGCCTGAAAGCACATGTAATTCCATAGGAGTGCCCACTCCACTGTTGGATAATATTTATACTTCATCTTTGCATTCAGTCAAAACCCACTGCAAATTTTGCCTATTGCTTCTAGTTTTGTCCTGAAGACATAGCATGAGTTTTAGCTCTCATTTTAGTAGTATTTCTGTCTCATCTGAAAGTCTTGGTTGCAAATATGTTTTTGAGAACATTACCAAGACTCTTAGGGAAAGGAAATGCAAAATATCATTTCTTTCATATTCATATTCTCATGTCATATTTCTTAGAACAAAAACATTGCTGGCTGAAGAGTGACTGGCACGATAAAGGCCTGATGGATCCCCCAGTCCATGCTTCCCTGCTACACTGTGCTTCTCCCATGCAGAACTGATCCCATTGGAATCTCTTAGGTTGCCAGCTCCATGAAGTCAAGAGTTTTGGTTCTTGCATTCATTCTTAGATCCTTAGCATGCTGCCTGCATCAGAGTGAGGGATAAATAGATTTTTAATAGAAATGATTAAATACATAAATGTATGCTTGACTCATGAACATATGATTGCATGCAGAATGCCTGAGTACATATATAGACTCTGGAATCTGTCTACCATGAGGACACCATTCAATATGCAAATCTCTACTGTAAACGGCAATGCTTCCACAGCCTAAGAATTACTTTTCCTGTTTTCTTTTGGGGACCAGGTCAGAGCTGTGTGTCCAGGGAGTGGCTTTTCCAAAGGCACTACTCCTTGCTTAATTCCTATTTTTATGCTTTTCATTAAACTGTGTGGATACAGCCTAAAATCCACAGATGGGTATAACAGGTGTATAGTCCAGTCAACTAGGCGATCAGAGTTAGTGGACATCTCTTCATCCTTCAGACAAAATGGATACTTGTCCCAGGGGGTAACTGCATTTTGATCCATTTTGAGCAGAATCCCTGAGGAAGAATTTGGGTGTCCGTACGACAAAATTACTGAAGGTAGTGGCAGAAAGTCCAGGAAGACTACGGCCATGGTCAGAAAACTAGAGGGACTAGAGATGAGTGAAGATCAGGACACAGAGCACAGGGATGGGACAAAGCCCATCTGAGAAGCCAGACAGAGAAAAAAACTACAGCAATCAGCTGAATATGGAATTCAGAGAATGAGGAAGTAGAGGGATTCAGAGAGGTTCTAGTGAGACCTGGGCAGAAACTATTGTATACAAATAAATGTCAAAAACTCGTTAGAAAAGTCTCCCATTTCAACAATGATCAACAATGATCTATTATTATATGTTTAAACAGCAGAACTGAATGAAAGATCACGCTGTTTTCAATGATTTCATGAGCTACACCTACTGGAAGGAAGCCGAGCTCCACAGACCCCCAGCCCATATCCCAGTTCCTCCACCTTCCTGGCAGCAGCTTGCCCTCATTAAATATCATTAGGGCAATGTATTGAGTGTTAGCCCTGCAAATTCAACCTTATAAAGCATTGCAGAGAAAGAAACTTTCCATCTGAGATCCAAAAACAGCACAGACAAGTCTCTGGGCTCTAGGTTTCATGCTTCGTGTAAGGTAACATGAACTGTTAAGAGACCTCTTGGTCATGGATTTTATGACGCAGGCAATAGCAAATGCCATGTGCAATTGGAGTGGCTGCAGTAAGAGAATTGAGCTTAGCAACAGCAGAAACAACAAAGAATAAATGAAAAATTTCTGTTAGCTTGTCTTTGCCTGTTGGTGTTAACTATACATAGATGACTAGCATGCTTCTAAAAGGTTTTGTCTATTGGAAACCTATGTAATAACATGTGTATAGTACATGTATATATATATGTACACATATAGATATGTACACATATGTATCCAAATAAATACATTTCTATAGGTCTGTGGGGGCTTGTGTGCACACAATCTTTCTGACACCACATACAAGCAGCAATGTAGATCAGTGTTAACACTGTTTATCCCTGGGGAGTGGGATGGAGGACACTAGCACAGAGGAACACCTTGTTCCTCTTGCCTGTGATTCCCATCTGTACCATTAGAACTTTTTTATAAAAAGCATGTTCTACCTTTATAATTTAAAAAAAATCTAAATATTTTAAATAAATCAAAATGTAAAAAAATAAAACTGCTACCCCATATATTATAAAACATGGATATTGTGAGAAGTCTGGTAAATAAATTTCAGAAATCCTTTAGGCAAAGAAATGGTTACAAGGCCCAACTGCAAACTACCTGTTGAGTATCTCCTGGTGCAAACACATCTGCCTAAGTGCTAAAGCCAGCTAGTATGATAGGAAAGGGAGTGATGGGGTGTGCAGGGCTTTCCATCAGCTGTCATGAATTTCAGGGCTGTGCACTTGCCAACTAAATTCTCTTCTTCAGAAATTGCATTGGTTGTAGGTTATAGTCTCCATAGAGGTAACCAGAACTCTCAAAGTGAAATTTGCAGCCATGGTGTTTATTTCCTTCTTGGCTTCTGTTTTTTAACAGTCCTTGAATGTGATATAGCACAGCTTAACTGGCTCCTATTTCATTAAATGTGTACTACTGGAATATATGGCTCCAAAAATGACTACCTTTAAGGTTCTATGTTGTCTTGTAATAATTCTCCATTCCTTACCCCCCTCCCTGTCAACCTAACCTACATATGGAATCCAAGAGTAGATAGCACTGCCATGTAAGGGGCTCTTCTGAGCCAAACACGGAGGAATGGCAGCTAAGCCAGCCTCTCTCCAATACCGCCTCAGGAGGTTTTGTAGAAAATTGTATTTTTATAAGTGTACAGTTTTATGTCTTTTAAATTAAATGGATATGGGTCTACAGGCCAGGGCCAGATCATTTGCTTCTACGCTTTCTGATAGCCCATTAAAGGGGATACTATATACTTGAGCTGAGCTGGAAACTCCTGGAGCATATGGCCTCAGTTCTTTCTGAAGCCCAAGATTGTTACATGCAGTGATCAATTTAAAAAAAAATGCTACAGGAGGTAGGTTTAATATTGAATCCATTAAATATGTAACTGTTCTGCTCATTTTTTATATTCTTTTCTTGGAAAACCCAAGTCCAGAGGGTTGTTCACTTCTTCAAAGGGATATTTGCCTTGGTTGTACATAGTTTCCCATCAATAATGTAGAACTTTCTTTTTCCTTTTTTTTTTTTTTTTTTGGCTTGGAATGATTTCCAAATGTACGAGAACCCTACAGTAGTCATTATCTTATCAATTTTCATACCAGGAATTTACTTGTGACTTCAGTTGGACCTATTTGAATTGGCCCATAGCCATCTATACCCTAAATTTTCTCTGGGCTGCTTTGAAGCATCACAACGAAATATGAGATGGTAGTTGGTGAAAATAGTCCTACATCCCAGAAATGGCAGCTGTGTAACCGACCATGTGGCCAACTGTTTGGCTCAGTCTAGGGAATGGAAGGCACCATTCGAAGCCAGATTTCAGTCTGTTTTAAGGATTATATTTCTGTCCTCACAACATCTCTTTGACAGTCCCACCAACTGAAAAACTCCCAGATGAAGCTCAGTGATTAAATTCTCCTGTAACATATTTTTTTCCAGCTTCTGGAAACAATCTACTGCTGTCCTCCTTACCTCACCATAAAACCCAACAGATAATTCCATTTCTAAGACTGATATATAGAAATAGATTACTCATAACCAACCTGTTCTCCTACAGCTGGAAATAACACTAACAATTTGATTTTGAATTGACTAAAGAGATACTTCATCCTCGTCCACTGAGAAGTTTCTCCTGCTTAATACAGCATTCATATCTGTCCTTTCAAAATGATATGTGACCAAAATGTGGTTCCGATAAGCAATGTGTCACCAATGGACCTTTAAAGTAAATGTAGAAAAAAGATCATTTATATGTTCACATGCAGAGACACTAGGGAAGCACTTTGCCTGTGTCTAAGAGCAAAATGGAAGAAAGCTCAGAAGACATCAGTTTTAGTCTGAGACAACCCTTTACCCACTTTCATTTCTGTTTTATACCCAAGGCAAGTAGACCTCCTCACTGAAAGTTAGGAGGCTTTTCCTCCTGCTATTGTAGTTATCACAGAATCCCTGATAGAGGGACCTGTAGGTACCAACTGATCTGTGGCAAGATTCGAAGTTGTAATTCCAACGCCAGAGACACATTTCTAGCTAGGCTCCCACAGCAATTTGTACTAAGAATTTTCTGGTAGGGAAAAAACAGAGAAAAGAATGTGTTAGACTACCCTGTACATAAGAAATGGGGTTATAGTGCTTTCGGGTATGACCTTGGGACCTGACAAGTAAAAGGTGAGGCATCCATCAGAAAGATCCAGCCATCCTGGAAATCTGGCAGTGGAACTCATAAAACAAGGCTTTGTCCTTGGGACAAGGCTTACTTGGGGTGATGAGAACCAAAAACTTAGAAAGAGAACCTAAAATGGGCCCCCTCTCACCACAGTAACCCAAGAGTCTATACTTATTAGTTTCTGTGCAACATGCCAGTGACTGTTTTCTTGCGTAAGTGAGTTATTTTGACAGATGCTGCTACTTTTGCATTGGCTGTTTTATTTCAAGTCAATTAGCCTGCTTTCTATTATCACTCAAGAAAGTCTAGAAGTAGAGGCTGTCACAGTGCTCCATTTCCTGTAATCGCAGTCCCCACACATGGTTTTCTGCTCAGCAACTTCAACTGCACTTAAAATCCAGTGGTTCTGCAAACTGGCCGTGGGCCTTTGTTGAACCCTTTGCTCGTCTCTATTGCAGCAAAAGGCAAAGATGGCTACACGTAGGCAGTATGGGGCTGTGCAAACAGCCCAAGCTGAACCAGTCTTTCATGGCTATCAGCAACAGCCCCGCGGCCAGGGCCGGCCCCTGAATGCCCTCCCATGCCACCTTACCAAACCTCAGATATATAGCGCACAAATTGACATCATCCATGTGGCACGTCCCAGCTCCTACATAATGACAAGGGATTGGAGAGGGAGGGGAAACATGCAAAAGGTCACTAATCATCTTGGTATATTTTGTCTTGGAAATGGAAGCAGCTTTACAGTTGTGTTTCTGCAGGACATCCAGAGGGTTTTCATAGACTTTCTGACAGTCTTGTGATCTTCAAAGACTGAACATAAAGAAAGCAGATCATATTTTTTGAATGATGGGTAGTTACAGTAGAATTGTGTGGTACAGAGGACTCAGGAAATGCATTGGGGGAGGAGGGAGCGGTGCCATTTATACGAACATCCTTTGAATCTTGAAAATAAATTATACAGGTGAACACAGAAGTTCATGCTACTTGCTGGAAGCAATGAGGATCAAATTTTGTGGAATTGGGTATTCCACAAATCTCCAGGTATCCTGCCCCTTCCTCAGTAGGCTACCATGTTCTGTTGTACATCTTGGTAGCCCTTAACAACTGGTGGCATGGTATCAGATTCTTGCAGAGAGAGACAGATTTATGGATTCCATCAGCTTCTTCCAGGGGAGCTGCCCAATCGCCGGGAGGGCACAGGTGATACACTTGCGCAGGTTCTCTTTGTGATCTACCAGGGTCAAACAGCAGTTTCCAGGTCCTCATGGCCAATGATCTTATAGTTCTGGCAGCTTTCTAGGTAAGCAGCCAAATCTGGGTCTCCAGCTTGCTGTGCTCTGTCTTGAGGGGTCTTACCCTATAGGTAACAGTGGGAAGGAAGGAGACACAAATACTTGGAATGAGATTAAAAAAAAAAAGAGGTACAGAGGTATTCAAAGATTACTCACTAAAGGATTTTTCCATGCTTGTGGTTTTAAAGTCCACAAGACACTTTCAAATCTATTGTCACATTAAACATGTGAGTTAGGTAAGTTCAAGAGAAAGACATAATCACTTAACAGGTGGGGCTTAGATCCAAGGATACAGGAGTTCAGAGTAACTGAGTCCACAGCAGGAAACAGTGTGGTAAAGTGAGTTTTGAACCCAGATTCTTTCCAGGAGAAGAGGAATAGAAATCACTGAATAAAAAAGTAGGAAGTTGGCATACGGACTTCTGATGCTGGACTCTTCCTATTATCCTAAACTCTGGGAGGCAGCAAGCAGAAAATGAGAGGACCAGATGGTTGTAAATGATCTAAAGATGTTTCTTTGCTGATTTCAAAGTCTTCAGTTAAATTCTCCAAATTCAGAACCATCTCATCTCTCCAAAAAGTGCTTTAATTTCTGACTATAAAAGTGATGGATGTTGATTAAATAAACAGGGAAAAGCACAAAAGCATAAGGAAGAAAATAAAAATCGCCAATAATTCCTACACTACACTAAGATAACTGCTGTTAACCTTCCACGGAGTAGCTATTTTGTCTTTTTCTATAGTTCTACACATAACTATTTTTTGTAAAAATGAAACCATACTATGGGGCACCTGGACGGCTCAGTCAGTTAAGTAGTCTGACTTTTGATTTCAGCTCAGGTCATGATCACAGGGTCATGAAATCAATCCCCGCATCAGGCTCCATGCTAAGTGTGGAGTCTGCTTAAGATTCTCTCTCTCCCTCTCCCCCTGCCCCTCCCCTGCTTGTGCTCTCTCTCTCAAAAAAAAAAAAAAAGTTAAAAAAACATACTCTGTTTACATACTGTTATATAACACACTTTTTCACTTACTATATCAAATATATCACAAATATCAAATATATGACTTTTATGTCATTCAATGTTCTTCTACATCATCTTAAATGATCATATCATTTCTTGCAGACTGCCATAAGGCCGTATGTATATTTATACACACACATGATATTTTTGGAAGAAGGTCAATGAAGAGAATTCAGTAGTAGAAGGAAGGAAGGTCTTCATTCTTTTGAATGCATATAGATATAACTTAACACTCCTTGAAACTTTTAATTTTTGTTCTATGATAAAGATACAGGTAAAACTATTTTAAAAAGTGATATTAAAAAATTAAAAAATAAAAAATAAAAGTGATATTAAGTTAAAAAAGGTGGAAGCATGGTCATTGTACCAAAGAAACAGCTCCAAGTATAAATGCACACAAGTATTACAAAAATGATTGAAGGCTTCTCAGCTTCCATTTAAGTCACTGCAATGGAGAGTATCAAGCTCAATTAAGCCTGCTTCCACTAGCCTACAAAGATACGTGGGGAGAGGATGAAAGGAAAGTAACAGGGGCTCTTGATTCTTTCTAAAATTTTACTTATACATACTTTGCTGGGATTTAATATTTAATCACTAGCTTAAAGCTCTTTTAATATTTTTTCCAACTTATTTACAGTATAAATAGACTTATACGGGTCTTCAATATTATTAATGAGGTTGGAATTACTAGCTTCCAAGTATTCAGAAAGGGAGACTGGGGTGGCTCTTGAGTTGATACTAAAGAAACTGTTTTCTAGCAGGAGAAATTGTCAAGATACTACTTCTCACAAAAAAAAAAAAAAAAAAAATATATATATATATATATATATATATATATATATATATATATATATAAATGAAAAGATCCAGTTATAATTATCATGTTCTGCTTTAACCTAGCATAAAATTCCAAAATAGAAAAAATTAACAGATCTCCCAAAAGGATAAAGCATGTCATACAGTGAGACCTCTAGAACACAATGTTGGGTGAAAATAAGCTTTCTACTAACAGTATGAATAGTATGACTTCACCGGCTTAAAAAAAAAAAAAAATGAGGGAGAAAAACAGGTATACCTACATGTGAAGAGAGATCATTAAACTTTTAATAGTACATAGGTCTAGGGTGTGAGATTTCTAGTGATTTTTATCCTTTTACATATTCTTTGCATTGCTAGAGTTTTTTTTTTTTTTTGGCTAGAGTTTTTTATATAAGAACGCCCTATATTTATAATCATAAATATAATGAAACTGTGTTTTGAAAAAAAGCAGGCACACACATAACACCAAAAAGGAAGCAATCTCAAGGAATGTCCAGCCTATTTATCTGATTTAGAAACTTCAAAGATAAAAAAGAGCAATCTGCCCCTGAGCCGGGTCTCCAGACTAGTCTTTTGTTTGTCTCTTTCACGTTGCTCCTCCTTTTCTTTTTATTTTCTGAGTTGAGTGTAGGAGTAGCCCTTTGTGTGTAAATAGGCAATTGCCACGCTGTTGTGTGGTTGGCCCCAGCAAAGGCAACCCTACCTGAAATCGTGCCCCCCCCCCCTTTCCCGCCTACATGGTTTGTGTTTCTCAATCAATTTTTACAGTTCAACAGTCTTCCCTTTTTTAGGGTCAACCCAGGGTGGTTTCTCAGAGCTCATCAGGCTCCTCTGCGGCTCTGTCTTCTGTAGACGCTGTCTCCCCACCCCCACCCCCTTCTCCTGGGCTGCGGCTCCAGCTACACCACCTGCTCAGCTCCAGCTTTCTGCCCTTCCCTTGGTGCTCTCAGTAAATGAATGACTTGCGGTGTACCTTGACCTCAGGTCTCCTGAACCGAGTTTCTCCTGACGCCTTACCTCTCTACCTGTTGGCATTTTTCTGGTCAAGGCATTTTAGTGGGTCATTTTTATATGTCCCACTATCAGTTTCTGGCCTCCCTGCCCCCTCCTTTTTTTTTTTAATTTTATTTTTTATTATTATTATTTTTTTATTTATGATAGTCACAGAGAGAGAGAGAGAGGCAGAGACACAGGCAGAGGGAGAAGCAGGCTCCATGCACCGGGAGCCTGACGTGGGATTCGATCCCGGGTCTCCAGGATCGCGCCCTGGGCCAAAGGCAGGCACCAAACCGCTGGGCCACCCAGGGATCCCTCCCTGCCCCCTCCTTAAGACGTTAACATACTTTAAATCCAGATTTACATGCCTTTAGCTGCAGGGTAACCAACCACACGAAGCCATAGGTACCGCTGTAAGGCAAAAACATTATACAAACCATAGGAAAAAAACACGACTTGGTTACTTTGTTACCATACTTCATCCTGTTGGATCCAGTGGGGTATTCCATCACCAAATGAGAAGGGATCTGCTCAAACAACACTGGGCTGGGTGTCAAGAGAACTGGATTTGGATTTGGGCTCACCTATGGTCTCAGGGCATAGAACTTTCTTTTGGTTTCAGTTCTTGCACTGATAAGAGCAATTCCCACCCTAACTTCAGGGGTTAGATTTTAGGAAAAAAGTATAAGAAAATAAATAGGAAGAAACTTTTAAAAATAGAAAGCCAACACAAATGTGCCAGATTTAAGATTGCAACCCTCTTGAAGTCAGGGCTGACCATCCTGACGGTGATTACCAATCACCTGGGCACCTGTACATGGGGCCATCATAAATCATAGATTTTTAAGCTACCCTAGGTAAAGTAGCTGAAGGAGATAGTCCAAAGAGGCTCTCAGTAGCAGGACAACGTCTTTCGCCCCTCTCCTCAGGCTTTGGAACCTCATGTCCCCGGGCCTTGGCTGCTGGCCTTCAGCAAGACGACCCCAAAATCCCAAGGCCAGGACATTCAGAACTTTATAAAGTCCCATAGGCAAGCACACACCCTTCCCTTTGTGCTTATACATTTAAACTACAGTTTCTCTAAATGAAGCACTTTATTTTTTCCTCCTTTTTCCAAAGCCCCAGGCACTTCCATAAGCAAGAAAGGGCGCCTTTGCTATGCGCACAAGTGAAGGCAACAGTGCCGGTGATCCTGCCCAGCGGGAGGATGTTTGCACTCACTCATCAAGTTACCTTGGAGTCCGTCTTTCTCAGAGATGCTCCCGCATCCACCAGAAGCTGGCACACAGCCCGGTTCCGCTGGCAGGCAGCCTTGTGCAGTGCGGTCTCACCCCTAAATCAAAGAGGAAATGGGAAACCACCCATAAAGGGACTGGGGATGGGGGTGGGGGTAGAGGCAGCAGGGAGGGGGTGAGGGTAGCTTCCCATCCCTGCTGCTGAGGCTCTGTGCTCCTGCGCCTCCTTGCACTCCTTGCACAGCTGAGACCATGGCTGGGGGGCACATTCTGGGGAGGTGGATGAGGGGGTGTCTAAACATGCCTTCAGTTAGTCATCAACGAACCATAATTTCTGATTCCAGTCTCTTTCCTCCACAGTGTTAACTAGGCTGAGCGACTTGTTTTCACCCATAACCTCTGGTTTAGGTCATACTGAATGGCACTATTCAACAGACGGATGTGTATAGACGCATCTGAGCACCGTCAAACAATTTTCTCTGTGGATGCATCTGGGCAGAACATGGGGGAACCAGATAAAGCACACACGGGGCAGTGATGGAAAACCACCATCCCTTCAGATACTTCCCACTATGCTTGGCAGACCACCATTGTGCCCTTGGTAGAGTATCTCGGGGGATTCAACTTCGAAGGACCAGGTCAACACAAGCTGCCCTACCTACTGATTTCATGTGAATGGTGGGTGGGAGGATGTGGGGAGCCATACAGGACATCTGGGAGAGTTGGGAACATGAGCTCTCCCATGTTGGCCATAGGCCCAAGGCCAGCCTCTCGGTGTAGGAAGAGAGCAAAGCCGAGTAGCTATTTCCACCCCTCTAACAGGCAGCATAGGGGAGGCGACATTTCCATTCAGGTAAGTGTTCACCTTGCCATTAGGATGTGGTATGTGGACAAACTCTATGGCACAAAGGAGTGTTTCCTCCATGTCCAGGAAGTCATAAGTATGGAACTATACCCTTCCCACTCATCTGCCATTCTATTCATTCCTACTTTTCCTCCTCCAGACCTACTTAGCTGCTCCCCTTCCTTTATCTCTCTTCAAATTTCTTTGAAGTTTTATAGTGCTTCTATGGGGCTTTCAGGGTTAGATGTTTAGCCTTTCTTTGTTCCTACTTGGGGAGTAGTAGCTATCTGACTGCCCTAGGATTGGAAAAGTTGAAAACAAACATTATCAGTTTGGGGACCACACCAGAGAGGAGGACTTTCTCAACTGGAGTCTTTCATTTGGACCACAGAACATAAAAATGATCGGAATGACTATATTCTTAATTCTCCAGTGGTTGTATAGAACTTGCTCCATTCTAGAGCCAGGAGAGGGGTTTCATTGCTAACAAAGGATGCCATAGGGCATTAGGATTTAATTTTCTCACAAACCCCAGTTGAGAAAGAGTAAATAAAAAAGGTGAATGTACTTATTTAGAGTTCTCAGTAGTCCAAGAGGCACCAGTGCAGAACTCCCTTGCCTGTAGGAAGCTCTAAATGATGAAGAGCAATGGCTGTGCATGTTAATCATTATGATTCCTGTCATTAATTTTTATTGTGTAATTTTTGATTTAGATTAGCCCTGCACAGTTGTAAATACAATTGAAAGTGAAGTTCTTATCACTGACATTTAAATTATCTATTACATGCTCTATAGACTACATTCTTCTCCTAGATATGTACTAAAGAAAATAATCTAGACTATGTGACAAGAGGCAATACTCACGTTTCACTGTCTGCCATATCCAATAACTCAGAAGGTCCTAAATAAGGGGAAAGCAAGATGCCCATCAAAACTAAGTTAAAAAACTAACCATTTAACAAAAAATTATAGTCACAGAATTAAAATACCTTGGAAAGCTGAAAAAGGAGTCATTTGCTGATAGGGAAAAGAAAGGATTTCTCTGCCCCCCACTCACCAACCACCACCAGCCCATATGCGTGGAATGATATAGCCCATACCTTTAAAGCAACCTTCAATCAAGTAGAAGAAATAAAATTAACTGGAATAGAATAAGTGATAAATAGCTAAGTGGTTACCTTGGAGAAATGGGACACTTCAGTAGGCTTTAAGGATTGTTTATAACTCCCCAGTGGCAGGTTGAGATGGGGTTTTATATAGTATAATTTTAAAGCTACAAGATACCACAGATATAATCCCGTCTAATTTCTGTATTTTAGAAACAGAGAAAAATTACATTTTTCATAAAATTTCCCTTCTAAGATCTGGAAGGAATGTCATGCATAAACACCAAATGATTATAGATGCTTCCTTAGGAAGTGACATGTTTGGAGAGTTTTTGCACTGACAACATTCTATTTGATCACCAATTAATTAATTCAATCTGCAAACAATCCTTGGAATGATCACCTTTCCACCTTCTTCACCACTGCTTCCCTTCCCAACCCTTCTATACTCTAATTGGTCTGCAGGTATCAGCTGAGACACAATTTCCATAAAGCCCTCCACAACCCTCCCTCCAAATACTGCATCCAATGTTCCATCTATGTGCCCCTCACTTTGTGCCGTAACCCTATGTCATAAAATTGGGAAGGTAATATATATAATTTATTATCCAAATTGAGATTGTCCCAGATAGGTGGGAATAGGTAATCATTTTAACAATCATGACATTTAAACCATAAAAAAACCACTAGTCTCTCTCCACAACTAGATTCTAGTAAACCCCTCGAAGCTGTGGCCTATGCCTTGTCCACCACTCCGTCCTTCCTTGGTACCTGACATAGAGCCTGGTACCAAGCAGATGCTTAAATGTTTTGTTGAATTAATGAATAAATGTGCTTAGATGCACCAAACACAGTTCTAGGTATTGAGCATTTTAGTCTTTAGAAATATAATCCTGTTGATCTGGTCGCTATATTGTTGAATATCATTATCGTTGAAAATTTGCTTATATGATTGCTTATTACATAAAAAGAAGGGAAGAGGTTAGAACTCCCTGACCATGAAAGTCACAGGCCAAGAAGGATTTTCACAATCCTCATGGTCATCCAAGAGCTGCCTCCTCTTTCACATCTACAGCCACGTAGGTCCTGTGAATCTTCCTTTGTACCTCCTGCCCTATTCACCTCTTCTCTTTCTCCTGTTTGATAAATAGGCTTCCTAATTGGTCTCTGCCTATGGCATAATTAGCATGCAGAAACAGTTACTAAGAAAAATGAAAAGTTCTCTTATCATTCAGATTTCTAGGTTTCTAATTCAACACATTGCTTGCTCCCAAGTATTTAAACATGAAAGTTGGCAGTCTTTCACCTGGAACTACCCTTTCTCAATTGTTCCAGGTTCCATTTTTTTCATATTACCTAAACTGGTAACTGTGCCATCATCCCCCTCTCTCAGCCCCTCTCAACTCACAGAGCTTGTTCCCACCACTCTCCCAATCCAGAACAGCCTTCCCTTTTCTAGCCACATACCTAAATCTTACTCATTCCATAAAGCCCAGTCTGTGACAAGGTCTTCTGAAAAGACCAGCTTTGACAGAAAGAATCTATCTTTGAACTCCTGTAACATTGACTTGGCTCCACTCTTGTACTATGTATTTGCTTTTCAGTCATATGACTTCTCTTCCTAAATGAATTATTCTAAATCCCTGCCATGTAAGAATATTTATTATTTTTCATTTATTATTTTTCTAGCACTATCCTACATGAAAGATTCAACAAAGACTTCATTCATTTATTTTTGTTCCTCAGTCTTGGCGTTCTGAGGAAACAGGAACAATAATTCGCACCACACACACCCAGAGAAGTGCAAGGCAGTATAGTGCAGTGATGGGGTCTAGAGACGAACCTGCTTGCTTCAAAATTCTGGCTCTACCTGCCACTTACTGCATCTCGGGCAAGTTCATTTAATCTCTCAGTTCCTAATCTCTCAGCCACATTCATAACGAAAGACTGATATCTCTCTCACAGAATTGTTGTGAGATTTCACAAACTAATATAAGTTGTGTGCTTAAAATGGGAGCTGGCAAGATACAGGCAATGTCTGAAGTCTAGATATGAAGTGTCCTACTTTCTGACATAATCCAGCAGGTTACACTAAGTGGAGATGTGAAGCATCTGTGGAGGAAGGAAATATACCAGGATCTGCATTTACCTCCATTTACTTCTGAAGCCACTTGTTGACTCAAATTCAATGTCCTGAGAACCAGTAACTCCAGACCCCCTCAACCACTAGCAGGGCATTCTCCACAAGGTCAGGAATAAGAAGGCTTACAGGGTCCTATGGTCCTCACAGAAAGTGCCTGCCACCTTCAGAGAACCTTTGGAGCCATTCATCTGGAAAGGAATTCCATGAATAGGAGCAACCCAGCCCCATGGGCAGGAGCTCTGTTCCCACCATTCACTGCTAAGTGCATGCCTATTCAGGCACCAGAAGCCTCAAGCCCTTTCTCCCTTGGCCCATTGACTCCAGAGGCCACACTACCACGTAAGTGAGAGGCTGTGGAACCAGCTAAATCTGAGCTAAAATGGCAATTGTTGGACACTCTGAAAGCGAGGACAAGGAAGAGAAGGGACACTGCTCCTCGAATTTCTTAAAGAATCACCATAAATGCAGCCAACCCAGGATAATTGCAGAGCTGATTATCCAGCATATGAGTCAGGCATGCCTATAGCTGCTTATCACACCCCCCTTCTCTCCTTTTCATCCTTGGCAGCTGGCAGAGGTGAGAGGGAGAGGTGCTGCTCCTAAAATGAGATACTTTTGCTCTTAATTAAAATCTAACGAAACTCCAATTACAGGTTTCAGGAATGGAATGGGCCCCGGAATGATGGACTTAATTAACCCAAACTTTCCTCCTCTTCCCATCAATACATAATAATCACAAAGGAGCAGAACATTTTGAACAGCGTCAGGCAAATCGCCAAAGAGCGAAGGGAGGCAGCAAACTGATGAGAGGCGGGAGTAGGGAGCTATTTTTAATAGTACGGCTACATTTTCTAATAATGTTTTAACCTGCTTTAAAATAACTGTGTTTGCATAATGCTAGCAAGAAGGGGGATGCAGAGGAGGAAATAAGCAGAGGTCGGTGGGGGAGGGGCAGCCTCTGAACAGGCTGGAGTTTCCCTCGCTGTGTGTGCTTCCAATGACCTGCTGGGAGCCCCTTGGGTTGTATATTGTGCTGGTGAGTGATGCCCTGCACAGGTTAGCAGCATTGGTGTAAGATTCAGAGAAGAGGACATGGCCAGAGAAACAAAAAATGATCTACACAGACCTCAAAAATTCTGTTCAAAAGAAAAAGTACTTTTAAAAATGGCATCTATGACTTTTGGAAAGTTAATTTGAGTGTCACTGATAAGAGAGAGCACTGATAAGAGACACAAGAAGGAAAAGATGATGGAATTCTTTCAATTTATGTCAATGGTGAACATTTGGACCTAGGGCTTCCTGTGTATGTTAGGTATACGTATGGTCTGATTGTGGAGATCATGCCATCTGCCCTGGGGAAGTCGAAGGAATACTATGAACATGTTAGCAGTGAACTCACAATAATTCCCTGAATATAAAAGGAAGTCTCGGTTCTCTGTCCCTCCTAGAGTTTACTACAATGTCCACACCCAATCTTACAAGTGACCTGCGCCGGAAAACAACTATTAAATCCCAATTGAAGGCACACGTGTGTTCATGTTTGTCCATGAAACTTTCGGGGGCAGATGAGCCATTGCTGCCCCTCCATAGCTCTGCACCAGTTGTCCCTGGAACCCTGCAGACAACACTTATATTGAATGATCCTGCACTGTGGCTCTTTATCCATGTTTCATTGCCCTTGCTGGGGTTTTAGAAATATGGAGGGCAGAGACCATATACTACGTACGTGTCTTGGCAAGGAACCTAACTTCACTATGCTTCAGCTGTCATCACCTCTCAGATGGAGATAAGAGAACTCACGTATGTAGGGCTGTTTTATGAATTAAACACATTAATACATACAAAGCATTTAGTCAGCAGTGGCTATTACTATAATATTTTTTCTCAAAAGTTCATGGGACAGAATTCATTTCTTTAATGAATGAATGAAGACATTTAAAAATCAATGTGGACCCCAGCCAGTATCATAACTTTTCTCAGAGAAAGATCCATAAATGTCACATGGATTCAAGAGACTGCTACATAGAAAACGGCCTGAAAAATAAGGGGGGAAAATGTTTGAAGAGGGTATACACCTCAGAATAGAGGTGAAAGCCAGGGAGTGTGAAAGGAAGCAAAACTTCACAAATCTCCCCCCTTGAGAAACAGTGTGGCCAAGTAGTCAAGCCTTCCAAACTGGAAGTTTGCGGCTCGGTGCTCATTCCACTGGCTCTTCCACTGGACATCCCAGCCTCTTGTGAGCACAACCCTATCATCGATTTTGTCCTTGCATTATATATGATGTGTCTTTTGTCACGTGCATCCTGTAGTTTGCTTCCCACACCAAGGCATCCAAATCCCCTTTGCTATTCCTTCCACCTCTCCATGGCCTCTCTCTCCCCAGACCTCATTTCCCATTAGTCTCCCTGACGCTGCCAGCAGACCATTCCAAATCCTCCTCTGCTCCAGGACAAAAGCTGCACAGATGTGGGGAGAGTTGGCTCTGGGAACTCTAACAGCACCGTCATCCTGTCCCAGCGGGATGGTGGTCGTTTCTCTCGGGGACCAGAGGCAGAAAAAAGGGGGGTAAAAAAAAAGAAAGACTAGAGACAGAAAAAGAGAGAAGGCAAAATAAGCCATTGAAATCAAAAAGGAAATGCATGAGTGAGATTT